GACTAAATCCATTACATTGTGATATCTTCTTTTAAGAAATTTGTATTCATTCATTCACTCCACAAATATTTATTGAGACTATTGTATCCAGAAGCCATTTTTCCTTCCTTCCTTCCTTCCTTCTCCCCTCTCCTCTTTTGTTCCTTCCTTCCTTCCTTCCTTCCATCTCTCTCCCCCTCTCTGTCTCTTTCTCTCTCTTCTTTCCTTCCACTGTCCCTAACTCTCTTCCTTCTCTCCTAATGAAGTCCAGGGGCTCCTGGATGGCTCAGTTGGTTGAGTATACAACTCTTGATTTTGGTTCAGGTCATGATCCTGGGGTCCTAGGATGGAGCCCCACATCAGGCTCCATGCTCAGTGGGGAGTCTGCTGGAGGATTCCCTCCCCTGCTCACGCACTCTCTTTCTCTCTAATAAATAAATCATAAAAAAAAAAAAAGTCCAGACCTCAGCAAACAAATGGAGGAGTTGCAAGGTCTTCTCCTTACTTTTGAAATTCTGCTGAAGTACAGACTGGACTCAAGGTAAATCGTCTTTAACCATTTTGGGAAGAGGGAGACCAACAGGGTCAGGAAGTCACTCACTCCACAAGGACCAGATAGTGCTAATCCCCTGGAGAAGCTTAAAACACACACACACACACACACACACACAGATCTCTCTGAAGCCTTTACTAAGTCCTCTTGATTTTAGAGGCTTAGATTCATAGACTTGGCAGACAAGCATTTCATTCAAAGTATACCAAGTACAATGATTTCCCAGTATGAACTGGAAGAGTACTTGCCCTAACTTCTTAAGGGAATGACGGGACATTTTTGTTAGTGTGATATAGTATTCTAGTGTTTTGCTTTTAGCTGTGCATTTTACGTGCACACTTTCAAATAAAAAGTTAATTGAAACTATCATATTTTACCGAACTTTTATGGCAGCTATCCAAATCATGAATCACTTCATTTGAAATAATCCCAGGTTTGCAACAAGATTTGTGCTTTTAATGAACCTGGTCTAAACCATGGGTTTAATGCAGAACCAATTGAGTTAAACTTCATGCTTTCTCGGATCCTGTTGTAAATGTTTTTTATAGTTCTAATGCTTAAGAGACTTTTGTCAAACTTTTTGGTGACAAGTAGATCAAAAAACCCACAGTTATTTGGCTCTGTCCTTCTCCAGATCTGGCAGAGAACAGGAATTGCAGAATGCAATTGGCAGAGCCAAATACACACAGAGACAATGTAATAACATTTCCAAAGGACAATTCCATGGGGTTCTTTGTTGAAAGCATTATTTTGTCTGCTTTCAGTGATTTACTGTTTTTTTTTTTCTAGATTTTATTCCAGAGCTCAGAAAATATCAGATTTAGAAATAAGAAGAAAAAAATACAGTGCTTTATACCTTTCACAGACCATAAAACACATATAGGAAAAGACAAAAATAATAACTTAAATTGGAATTTGTTGAAATGTTACATTTTTGTGACTTTATTTTGTATTTAACTTAACTTAGGCATTTATATCCACACTTATGCCAGTAATGCCCTAAGTTTCTTCAATAACATGGAGAAAAAGCAGAATTATGTCATAAATTTAAAAGAGGTTGCAAAAAAAAAAAAAAGGAAAAGCAAAAGTGGACTTAAAATTAAAAGGACTGAGGAAAAATTGTACATGAAAAGATGTACCATATTCTTAGCTTTTAAAGAAATTCAGATTAGAAACTCAGTGAGATAATACCATACATCTATTAGAATGGCTTAAATAAAAATCTTGACAATACCAAGTGCTGACAAGACTGAAGCAAATGGAACTCTCAACAGTTTTGGCAGTTTCTTATAAATTTGAACATATACCTACCATATGAATTAGCAATATCACCCCTGATTTTTATCTATAGGAATTAAACCTTATATTGATATCATGTCTATAGTTGAATGTTGATAGAAGTTCTGAACGTTACTGTTGCAAACTGGAAAAAAAAAATCCCAAAGCCTTCCAATGGGTGAGTATACAAACTATGGTATGCCCATGCTTGTGAAAGAATACTGAACAATAAAAAGGAACAAACTACTGATACATGCCACAACCTAGATGAGTCTCACAAATGATGTCATGCTGAGTGAAAGAAGCCAGCCTTAAGAGGCTACTTAATAGATGAGTCCATTTATATGACATTTGAGAGAAGACAAATATAGTGGTGGAGAACAGCTGAGGTTGCTGGTGTGGTGGTGGAGGAAGGATGTCATTATTTTGCGGATGGTGAAACTGTTTTGTGTCCTGATTGTAATGGTCCATACATGTGTTAAAATACATAGAATCATGCAACACATAAGGAATAGTAAGTCTTAAGTATTTAGGTTCAAATCTGGCCCCAGGTTTTCTAATGGGAAAAAGGAAATTTATTCAGTTACACAATTTACAAGGTCCCTAAAGGAGAAAAAAATCAGTGGGAACTCTGAGGAAGTTCAAATACTCTTCATGTTGGTACCAGATGGGCCTTCGCAAAGGGACCATGTGTTAATCACAGGATAAGGTCCTATATGAACAATGATGAGTTTCACTGAAATGTTTTGTTTTGGGTCCCTCAATATAGGCCAATAACATCATACCAAAAGACAGCTGAGTAAATTTAATTTGAGGTGTGTCAACTCCATGTAATCTAAAAAAAAAAATAAAAAAATCCTTCTTATTTTGCTCAATCCAGAGGTAGATTTTAACATATCCTTTCAAAACTGGCAACTTATGTCATTTCTGTGAAGCCTCCTTCATCTGTGGCAGAGTTAGGTGTGACATTTGTCTTGTTCCACAGTATCCTGTGTCCGACTTTAAAGAGAAACTGTGACTTTTTTTTTTTTTTGACCATTTATTTGCCAATTGTTCTCACTCTACTAAATTTTTGGAAAATAGGGATTTTTTTTTAAATCTTCATATTTCAGCAGGCTGTCTGGTATATAGTTGATGTTCTCTTAATATTTGTTGACTGAGGCAGATATGGGTGGCAGTGGTAGAAGTGGGAAAGGGTAGTGCTGAGGATGGAGAGGAAGGGTACTCATTGCACAGCTTTCCCTCTGAGGACTAATTTGAGAAGACTCAACACACAACTGTGAAGAAGATATTGCACATGAGGCTATTGACTGGGATTTATGAACTGTGCCCAGAGAACAGCAGGATTTTTAAGGCTGTGTGGACATAACTATTCCATAATGTTTTAGAAGTAAAAACAAAAGAGTTAGGAGTCATTAAGGTGTCCACACCTTCTAGTCTGAGACTTAAATTAATTTGCCCATTTTTTTTTTTTTTTTGGAAGTCATTTACACTGGATGAACTGCTATGAAATTTCTCTGTGACCTTGGGAAAGTCATTTAACATTGCTAGTCCTCAAAATGCTTATCAAAGAAATGAAAGGGATTTAGTATTCACACAGAACCAATATTTTGTTCTTCGCTGACATCTTAATAGTTTAATGAAAGCCATATTTTACAGGCTTAATATGTAGAATCTGACTTCTTTCTCTGACTTAACTGATGGGCTGTTCAATGATTTCCCTACCTCACTTGTTTTTTCTCATCAGCTTGCTGCAATATTTAAAATTCCCACCAGCATCTGCTTGGGTTCAAGATTCCCTCTATAAGGCTCCTTTTAAAATGCAAACAAATTATCTAGAGGATAGACACATAAACTCATTAATACATATTCAATATGGATTAGTGATCTTTAAAACTTAAATCCAATCAGGTCACCACCTTACTTAAAATCTTTTAGTGGCTTTCCTATGGGCTTAGGATAAAGACAAACTGCTTATTATGGCCTTTGAGCCCTTGCACATTCAATCCCCACCTTCTGCCCCATCTGTCCAGACTCACCCCCATGATACTCCTCCAGTTATAGGGCTCCAACCACTCCACCTTCCTTTAGTCTCCTGCCATCATCCTCCTCCTGCCTGCCACTTGCCATTCCCCTAGGCACTTTTCTCTAGCTTGCCTAGTTAATGCCTATTTATCTTTCACTTGCCACTTAATTGCTTTTTTTCTCAGGGCAGTGTTCTTGACCTTCATAACTAGGTCACATTTTCCTATTCCGGACTTCTGTAGCATTCTGCACCTCTGCTGGATTGTTCCTCACAGCGCTTCTCCCATGATTGTCAGATTACTATCTGTCTTCCTCACTAGATCATAAACTCCCTGAGGACAGGGATTATGTCTGCTTTTGCTTACTCTTAGGGCCTCACTGCCTATCATGAGACCTATTATGTATTATGCCTTCCATAGGTGTTTGTTGAATGAATGAATAAATAAAGAATTAAATGAATGAGTAAAAAAATATATCATCAATCTGCTCAACTCTGAGTCTTAACAAAGCACAGAACTCTGTGGGATGGGATTTAATACAGATTAAAAGCCAAAGCTTCCTAGGGACTTATTTGGATGCCCACTCCTCCCTAAGCCTGGTTTGTTTGTTGTTTGTTGTTTTTTTTTTTTTTTGTAATTTTATTTTATTTTTTAATTTTAATTTTTTTTGTTATGCTAGTCACCATATAATACTTCATGAGTTTTTGAGGTAGTGTTCCATGATTCATTATTTGCATATAACACCCAATGCTCATTGCAATACGTGCCCTCCTTAATACCCATCCCTCCCCCCACCTTTTTTTTCTCACTTCTTCCCCTATTCCTCCTTGTTCACTCTCTTTCAGTCACAGTGGCCTCCCTGTGGTTCCTCAAACACATCAAGCATACTCTGACCTTAGGGCCTTTGGGCATTGGCCTTTTCTTCGTCGAAGCTCTCCTTCGTACTTCCACATGGCTGACTTCTTTACTCAGAAGCTGCCTTCTCAATGAGGCCCATCTTGGCCTCTCTATTTGAAAGTACAGTCCTCTCTCCCTATACTCCCCCAGCTCTACAATCCTCATCCTCTTACCATGCTTTTCTTTATTCCATAGCCATATTATCTGCTGACATCATATATAATTCATGCATTTATTATATTATTATTTTTTTCTGTTTCTCTTCTTAGATATAAGCCGCACGGGGCCAGATGTCTCTCTTTGGTTCATTGATATAACTCCAGTACTTACCTAGAGCACTGCCTGATGACGTGTGGTAAGTGCTCAATAAATATTTGTTGAATGGATGAAGGGAGGAAGGTGGGCAGAAACATTGTCTAGGTGAGGTATGGGATGAAAATACCAGGCAATCAGCAGTCACTAGATTCTCGATGGAGGGCAACAGGAGGGAGACAGGATTTTCTAAGACAAAGCCATCCACCCCTCCACTATGCATTAGGCCTGATCCTGCTTTTAAGTTAATGAACATTAATGGGGAAACATTCTAATTTACTTCAAAATAATTTATATGCTAGATAGGCTTATGGGCATGGCCATGATTCTGACAAATGAGAGATTTCTGCCTTTGAGTTCTGCTACGTAAACATGGCAGATGGTTATATAAACATAATACTTAAGAACTGTATTTGGCAAAGGAATAAGAAATCGTCTCACAAGGACATTCTGCACTTTGTGTTACAAGAACTAGAGAATTGTATAAAGACACAAAGTCCCATCCTCTCAAATCTGTAAAAATTTTCTATTACCATGTTCACCCAAATCTACCAGATTTCCAAACTGATCAAAAACTTCCTTGCTTTTACTCCAGTTGGACAACATTGACAAATTTGGTATTTATTACCTTATACTTAGGAGAAACGTATTTGAACTTTGTCCTTTAAAATCGACAAGGTACTTGATATTTAACACTTGCAAATCTGGATACTCATAAAGTACAAAAAAGGGAGAAAAAATAATGGAAGTGTCTTGAAAGTATTCTAAGTAATATGCCACCTTGAAAGGAAAACTTGCTGAAATTTTCTATTCAGTAAAAAATCATAACTAAGTGGGGTTTCAAAACCAATTGTATCAGACTTAGAGGAGGTTAGCTAAATTTTAGGGTCGAACTTAAAGTCACGGGGAAGATAATACAGACTTTATTCTCAAGTACAGCTGCCAGGAATGTATTTAGCCTATTAATAAACAGATAAAGAAGGATCCTTTGTTTCTTCCACTGTTACTCTGGCTCTTTGAATCTTTACATGATTTCTCTGCTCACATTTCCTTTAAATTATTTTTTTCCAAAGAATGGTTTTACATGGCAGTTTGCCTCCTACATCCTTCTACCCCAGTGGTCAATCTTTTTATAAAAATAGAAAGAGAAAGAGAACTAATCATACAGTCAACACTGTGATCTTCTCAATGAAATTATTTAGGCGGTGGAAGTACTCTCTATCCATGTTGAAATTGTAAAAATTATTTGCATTAAAATTTCTTATGACTTATATTATATTGGCATTCTTATCCCATATTTCATAGAAAGATTTCTCATTAAAGTCCAGTGGTCTGGATTTCAAGTACCTAGGCAATGACTCTTGTTACATAATAATAGCAATTTAAAGCATTAGCTCAAACAAAACAAAACAAAACCTAAACCAAACAAAATAAAATGGCAAGTAGGTGGGATCATGAGAGATGTTAGGTTTAAGTAGGAGAGTTGCAAACCTTGTTATTAAAAAAAACTGGAAAACTGGGAAAGCTTTCTTCTTTCCATGAATTTTAAAGAGTGCACAAGCTTAACCCACTGAACACAACTCTGAAATGTTTCTAATTCCCTTATTATCAATGAAGGTAGACCAGAGAATGTGAAGAGAATTTTACCTTAGGGAAATGTACTGCTGTGCATTTTCAGTAACTGTATAGTCCATTTCTGCCTCTATGCCTGAAAATTAACAGCATGTTAACAGGACGATTGCCTACACTGTGGCACCGTCTGTTTAGGATTAGGCCATTAAATATTGATGGAGATAATTGTTCCTGCACTTGAACATCAGAAAGATGGAACTAAGAGTAGTTTAACTGGCATTTGCCTTTATGCTTGGTAAATAGAGGGCTGGATTTCAAAGTATAGCGGGATAAGTATTACCATGTGCTCAGTTCCACAGCCCAAGCGTCATTGATCAGAAACTGTGGTTTGCAAAAATGTTATAGTAAAAGATCAGTGAAACAATTCAGCTGAGCTTTGTTGGAATTTACCGAAAGAGAATCTGATAGAACTGCATCTTAACAACATGCAAGCAGGATTTCTTGCCATTTGTCTAGTTACTTTTTTTAAAATTTTGAAATGATATTTACACGGGTTATAGTATTAACTGCTATGGTACTGAGCACGTAATCTAAATTTCTTACACTTTCACTGAAAGTAGCAGGGTAGTTGGTGAGGGCCCTGGGGTTGGACTGTCAGTGTTCAGATCTCAGCTGTGCTCATGCCGTCCTGTGGCTTCCTGTGCCTGGTTGGACTGCTTACCTCTCCGAGACTCTGCTTCCTTCTCAACATGGAGCTTTCAGTGTGTTCCTTTTATAAGTCATTGTAACATTAAATGAGATGATATGTGACGCTCTTAGCACAGAGACTGGCACACAGTAGACTCTCAAGTAATGTTAACCTTTGTGATCATAGAGCATCTATTTCGAGGAAGCAACGATGTACCTCAACAGCGGCTGAATTTTGTGCCAAAAATACGTGGTAGAAAACTAGTTGCCTCCAAAACGCTGCTAAGTTGTTGCTTTATTTCAGAAGGGACGTTAAGGTGAATTTCATGTCCCTTATCTTTGAGTGGGGCCAAAACCCCCAGTGGCTAGTCTTTACCTAAGAAAGTGGCCCTAAGAGTTATAATGAAGCATTTCTCTCTTGCTTTTGGATTTTTTCAACTGAAGCCTCTGAAGTCTTTACATGAGTATGAGGCTGTTCAAGCTATTATTCCTTTTTTTTTTTTAAGATTATTTATTTGTTTATTTGAGAGAGAGAGAGAGTGTGTGTGAGAGAGCATGAGAGGGGTGAGAAGCAGAGGGAGTAGCAGACTCCCTGCTGAGCAGGGAGCCCGATGAGGGCTGGATCCCAGGACTCTGGGATCATGACCTGAGCCAAAGGCAGATGCTTAACTGACTGAGCCACCCAGGTGTCCCTCAATATTTCATTCTTGATCTCATTTTGATACTAGAAATATGTGGACTTTGGGTGGGAGGAACAGAAATAACTGAATGCATTTCAACAACATTCATTTGGTTCTGCTAAAAAAGACTTAACATCTGTAACCTTTCCATGCAGCCTCCAACTTCTGACGTTCTTGAGGGACAGGGCAATGCAAACCCCAAAGGAACAAGTTTGCTAAGACTGATTAGAAGTGCATTCTGCCATGTGTGAGGTGGAGATTTACCAATTCATTTCCTTTGGACTGTTTTTAAAAGTTTTTACCCACTGATCTCAGGAAGGAGTCACCACTGCTTGACATAAGAAAGCACAAATCCTGTGGTCCAATGTGCCGGTCTTAACAGACCTTCATGGTGGAATGAGTCATGTTCTTACTCATTTTTTGTTACATTTGTTGACTAAGCTGAGACTGTTCCTTAAGCTATAATAAAGATAAATATTAAAGGCTAGAAACCGTTTTCTTTTACACTTATTTTTGAGAAATGCTTAATGCATATTCAATTTTATAATCTCTTTCTTTTCAACTACACCAAATTTCTACTGTCAAAGCTAGAAAACCTCTGTAGAATTAAAAGAGCTAAAATTTTATTTCGAACTTTTTTCTAAGTAGATGGAGTTTCATTCACAACCAGATAAAGATATCTTTGTATCCTACTTATTGCAATAATAGACCGGATGGATTCTTGGTAAAACCTGAATATTTTTAAATGCTCTATATGTTCTAGTTCTAAATTGCATGTTTTAAGCATATTGCTTTGAAATCCTGAAAAAATGCATACTGAATTTTGATGTGTTCTAAAACAGTCATGAAAATTAACATCTTCCCTCAGCCCAGGGCCAAACAGATTTTTTTGCAGGGCCAAATTAGAATCTGCCTACAGGCTTCAGATAAAAAAAGGTAGCAAGCAGGCAACTTTTTAAAGTCAGAAAAGGCGAAGTAATCTTATATGGCTATCTTTTTTGGTAATCTAAGTAGCTGGGGAAGGGAATAATCTTTTAACTTAGCCTTAACCCTCTAGAGTGTGTGGATGTCAACAGATTTTTTTCCAGAATGTAAGCCAGCGTAATGGTACTTTACACCTCTAGAAAACAAATTGTTTTAATGCAGATATATAAGTTACTGGGAGTGGAACTCACAGGGCATGTTAACTAGGTATTTTTTTTAGATACATGTTCTTTTAGTGTTTACATTTGAGTTCACTGGCTGGATATATGACATTGGGAGGTCAGAAGTCAAAATCATGGATTACTAATTGCAGATTACTACTTCTATCTGCTCTGAAATTCCGTAGGTGAAACTAACGGCATAGGTTGTAACAACCATTAGGCTAATTACAACCCTAGAGAAGCATTGCCCATAGCATCAGGAAAGGAAGGAGAACCTAGAGCAGTCTAGAAAGAGGAGGCCTGGGAACGTGAGCATGTGAAGTTGGAGACTTTATGATACATAAATGTGGATATAGGTACATAGAGTGAGGAACCAGTTCAACATTCAAGAGACAGTTATGAGCCCCTACTCTACTGAGAAGGTACTAGATATTGAGAGTCAGAAATGGATAAGGCGCTCTCTGCCCTCAAAAGAGCTCAAATTCTGGTGAAAAGACTATAAGAAAATGAAGGAAAGATGGCCTGGCAAAGATGGCAATAAAAATCGTAATATCAGCACACATGTTTTGAGTGCTTGAAATGGTCTAGTGTCTATTTCAAGCCTATTAGCATTCATTTTCATTTATGCAACAACTGATTACGTTAAGGACGATGATTATTTCCATGTTGCATTTAAGAGAACGGAGTCTAGGGGAGGTTAAGTAACCAAACGAAAGCCATAAATCTAGTAAGTGGTGCTGCAGCCAAGAGGAGGGAAACGTAACGGGAACAAAAAGAGAAGGCAGGGATCGATAGGTAGACCTGCTTCTCTATGTGTTTGTCTATCTACTTATATCTATATATCTCAACGTGTGTATATGTCTATGTGTGGCTGTATTCCTATGTCATTGTATACATGCTCAACATGCTCACACACACTGTAAATATGCTTTGTGTTCCTGCTTTTCCAGGTTTCCGTG